ATGAAGGTCAGCATGCTTGAGGCATCGATCAGCAGGGCTCGTAAATAATTCATCTTCTGCGCCGACTTCTGCCAAGCGGTGATGAATGTATCGCGGCTCGCTGGCTCCACCGAGTCAATGCGGAGTGTGGAGCATTCACGGCAGATAATAAGGTTCCTATGGCCTATGGGTACCCAGGACGGTACAATCAGCTGTAGAAAAGCAATTACATCAGATTCTGGTTGCCTTATGGCTGTCGCAATGTTGTATTTATTTGATTTTCGTATTGAGGTAGGCTGGTACTTGGGAGGTACCCGACAACACGAAATAGGATAAAGTACTCCATACTCAGTAGTACAATGATCTACGCCAAGTGCTTGGTATGCGCCCCGGTCAATCATCAGCTCAACATATTGGATTGAACTATTTGAGCGGGAATTCGGACAGTCTTGGCTTGATACAAGGGGAATCTCTTGGGAAAATGAGTACTGTACCTAGTAATTCATGGCTCTCATAGGTGTGGATCTGGATGCGTAAGTACCCTAGTTACTGTTAGATGACGTCGTTGAGTGGCTCTCAGTAAAGCGCCGTTCGAGGTACTCAGCACTCTGAGGTGTCAGGGTACCTACTTTCTTCATGAGTAATGCTCCAGTCTAATAATAAGAAGTCTTGAGGTACTAGAGACTAGAGAGGTACATTTTGTCCATCGAGTAGCATGTCTGCCAAGTGTTCTTGTCCTGTCGCAGAACCAACCGGTCAATAAGAGTCCATCATTCATATTATTGCCTCGATTAAACGGAATTTTGATGATGATTGCCAAGCTAGGGAGCCTGACGTCGCAGTTCCCCAATCATCCATTTCACTCTCGGCACCTCTTTGCCGGGAGACCTTCCAGTCCTAGTATTCTGGCCTCCTCCGAGGAGTTCCAGCAAGAACGCCCCGCACGACTTTTGAGTCTATTAGCTCATGTTACTCCCTAACTCCCTGTCTGGACTCTGCACCTCTCTCTGTCTGGCCTAGTGACTGCCCTGTGGGTCAAACTTTGTCTTCTCTAGTCGTTGCTTAACTGACTGCCCTCTTGGATACTTAATACAGCCATCCCACCCACCCTCCGCTCCCTGCGTCTCCTTTCACGACAACAATCTCCAACTATCCACAACTCTCCTTCTTCTATCCTCGACTCTTCCAAATCTCCCACCAGTCAATCCTATCCATCACAATGTCCAGATTCCGCTCGCAACGCAAGAAAAACGCCCGCTCTATCGCTTCAGAGGATCCCTGGAGGGTCGATACCCCGTTCGGCCCTCCACGGATATCCTCCTTCCCCGGTGGTGGCATTCAACGGATCCGCAACACACTTTCCAAGCTGTCACCCTCCGCTCGAGCAGAGAGAGAACTCCTAAAACAGAAGAGCCAATGCAAAATCCCATTGACGGAAAGGAATATCGACACCCTGGTCACCAACCAGCTCTTCTCGGATTCATTCAAACCAGAACGGCATACGGAGCTGCAAATATCCGCCTGGCTTGACCGACTGGCATATTAATCAATTTTGACTTTGGAGTGCCGATGACATAGTCGTCTCTTCTGATCGAGAATTACCCCGCCACCGCCCATGTCTTGTCCTCCCTGTCGACGTCGAGTACTGGTCTGGTTCGAGCACCGTCAGCTCAATCTGAAAATGTCTCATTAAACGCAAGGAAATACCTATCCTGTCGATTTGGACTGGAAACAAGTGATCTTCCATCGCTCTCTTGGCGTCGACGCCATCACCCAATATGCCGCGCCAAGTATGCAAGTCTATGCCGCCTGCCGCAACGCAACAGCGACAACCAGGCGAAGAGACTCATGCAGCTCGAGGAGCGATTAACGAAATGCTTGTTCAACAACTAACGCCCGGGTGGTCTAGTGGTATGATTCTCGCTTAGGGATAAACCCAAGCATATCTGCGAGAGGTCCCGCGTTCGATCCGCGGCTCGGGCCGTTTCTTTTTGTTCGTTTTGCCCCCCCTTAATGCCATATGAGGCATTTGTCCTTTTTGCGTCCTGCTTCAAGGCGAAAATTTCTTTTGTGATAGATACCCCTCTGTTTAGAATCCGTCTTTTCAACGTTTATTCTTGTTTAGCCTGGAGCTTTGGTGATTTTGCCTGCGCAACAACAGCAATTCTGTTTCTCTTGATAATGATAATAGCAGATGGATTCTCCTCTACTCCGTAGCCTAATGAGAATCAAGAGCTTTCCAGTGCTTTCTTATTCTTCGACTCCTAGGAGCTGGCTTGGTTAGATACTTGGGGTTAGGACTCATGCGAGATGCCCCTCGTTGCTGTTATATTTACTTCTCCGCCCGTTCAAGGCCCCCCCGCAGCCGCAACAACAACCACGACTACAGCTCCCACCAGTCTTTTCTCACTACAACTGACACACTCATTCTGCCTATGTCAGGCGAATAGAGAACTGACTCGACCATGATCTTCCTTTCACCCTTGTATTGCGGCTCTCAGATCATTAATGCACCTGACCATAGGCACTTCCAGTGAGGGGTAATCCACAAGCAGATAAGGTAGCAAGCAACGGAATGCTGCGACCAAAGAAGGTCGCTATAATAGGTACATCAACTTGCCTTCACGCCAGCATAATCAGAGATTATATCTGAATTTGCAAGTCCGCTGAAGAACTCACTTTTTAATAGGCGCCGGTCCGTCCGGCCTCGTCACGGCCAAAACACTCCTTCACCATTTCCCGGAGGGCACATTCGCCCCAAGCATCTTCGAGAAACGCCATGAGATAGGTGGTCTGTGGCCCATTCGTCGCAATCGCAGAGGTTCCAATTCCGGTTCTGCACGCGTCTCAAAAGACCATGGCGCAGCTGGACCCGTGAATCCGTCCATGCGAACGAACCTCAGTCGCTTCACCGTGTCCTTCTCCGATTTGGCCTGGGAGTCGGTGCTTGGGACTGCTGATGTGCCTATGTTCCCGCAGGCGTGGCAAGTGGGCAGATACCTGGAGACCTATGCGGAGCGGTACTTGTCTGACGAGGTGGTCAGGTTGGGGTGTGAGGTTGTGCGTGCGGTTCGGGAGGTGGTTGGTGGCCGGCCGCGGTGGACCGTGCAGTGGGTGCAGAGGAGGTATTTTGTTCGAGTTTCTTGCTCATTGCATGGCTGATATAGTTGAAACAGTGAAAATGAGGAGCAGGGAGACGATACCGAGCAACGCGCAGTGGAGACCGAATCCTTTGATTTCCTGGTCGTTGCTTCGGGGTACTTCTCTCGTCCGTATATACCAGACATTCCTGGACTTACTGCCTTCGCCGACAGGACTGTCCACAGCTCTGCGCTACGCAGCGTTGAAGATCTGAATGCGATTGTTGAGAAGGGCTCCGATGGAGGAAGGTTAGTTGTCGTAGGAGGAAGTATGTCGGGCGTGGAGGCAGCTTCGTCTCTTGCCCTTCACGTTTCTTCGTTGAGGTCTGCGCCGGGGTCATCGATGCAAACAGGTAGCTTCCCTGAAGTCTATCACATATCCAGCCGGCCTTTCTGGACGGTGCCGACCTATATACCACACACTCAGAGGGACAATGCGACTGGCACGGAGACGGTATCCCTGCTCCCGCTTGACTTGGCTATGTATGATTTGGGTCGGCGGCCACCAGGCCCGATTGAGTATGCCTTTGGCCCTGTTTCAGCAGCGCAGGTCGCCAAGGTGAACGATTATTTCCAATCCGTTCTAGGGGAAGACTATGCGAGCATCGGCCCTGGCGATATTGGGTTAAAGCGCGGCAAAGAGGAGACTCTGCAACCATGGTGGGTAGGTATAGGGAATGATTACGCAGAGTTCGTCCGGTCAAAAGCAATCAGAACAGTCATCGGCCGTGTTTCAGCCGTGCATGCTTCCTCACCTGGTCGAGCAAAAGTTGACATCGACCTACCTGGGAAAGAGAGTATGTTGCTCGATGATGTTGCAGCGATTGTCCTAGCTACGGGATTTACCCCGTTTCCTTCGCTCGCCTTCCTCCCTGAAGCCGTTCTCTCTGCATTGGAGTATTCACCCGATGACTCCTTCTTCCCGCTGATCCTAGACGGAAAGGGCACTATTAATGCCAATATTCCTGACATGGGCTTTGTCGGCTTCTATAGAGGACCGTACTGGGGCGTCATGGAAATGCAGGCCCGAAGTCTCGCACAGACCTGGGCTCGATCCGACACAGAGCATGGCATTCAGTTTTCAGCGAAAGAGCTGGAGAGCAAAGAACAGGAAAGACAGAAAGTTCGCGAATATCGGAGTGCGGATCCGGATCTTCACCGAGGACAGTTCCCAATGGGAGATTATACTGGGCTGATGGAGTCCTTTGCTCGGGATCTAGGGATATGCCGTGCTCCTTTGCCGGAGCTCAACGAGCGACCTGGCCCTGTTGTTCCGGCGCGGTACGCCATGTCTAGTCCAGGGACCGCCGATATCCAGACGAGTTTGCACGCTCTGCAAGAGACTCTGAAACCTACAAGGGGATGTGCCACTCCAGCAGTGGCCATGGCGATCTTTCGAGCCCTTCACGGCAGCTGGGATTTTACTCGATCAGGACAAGATGGTGTATCATCCGGCATTTGTACATTCTCACCGCGGTATCCTTCCAGCCCCGCTTATGAGAAAGAATATCTGTACGAGGAGAGTGGTCATAAGCTTGCAAGCTTCGTGTACCGGCTCACAGATAGTCCCCAAGATGCGGAGATTACGGTCTGGTCCGCTGACTCTCAGGATAAGACTGCTGTTGCCCTCTCGTATGGCCTACGGACCTTGAACCAGGACGGCTCAAGCACGTTAAGTCAGGGAGAGTACACTATTCGCGCAACCGGCAGCCAGTGGAGCAGCAACTGCACGTACGAATACGTGTTCCGATTCAATGGCGCAGCCATATCATCCTGGGAATATACGGTTCGCAGGCCACCGGACCACGGCGTTGTCTTGAGTAGAACGCTATACAGACGTGTACCAAATACGTGACAGTCCACTGGCGACCTCTACTCCGTTTAATATGTGAATCGAAACGCAGGATGGTCATCGCCCAGATTCTCCACTTCCTCCTGGGGCAGTTCCAGCCTCCATTCCCTTCTGCCGGCATCCCTCAACCTATTCTCCCTCACCAAGTACGTCAAGAACAAGGCGCAAGCCGCTCCGCAGATCCAGGTCATCCCCAGACTCACCCCGTACCTGGTTGTATATCGCGGAGCCTCCTCCTTGAAGAAGATGTTACTCGCCACCAGCCCTCCACAATTGCCAAACCCAATCTGCATTGCCGACGCAATGGACTGCTTGTAATGCCCCGCCATGTTGTTGCTCAGCCAGCCCATGAGAATCGGTTGCGTCAGGTATCCGCCGCCCGTGATGGCGAAGACGGCAAAGTAGCGCGCCCCGATGGGCACGGATGCCTGGCAGAGCAGTATCACATAGCCCATGGTGGCAATGAGACAACCCGCCAAGGTGAACAGGTATCGGTGGCGGAGTCGGTCGCTGGCATAGGCGGCGGAGAGGGCGATGACCGTGGCGACGCAGTAGACGGGAATACTCATGACCTGGGCGCGGACGGCGGTCCATCCTAGCTGGTTGAGGATGGTGGGGGTAAAGAAGGAGACTGCGTAGCCAGTGTTGACAATGCCGAAGTACATGAGCGGTCTTCGTCGCGGGTAGCCATCAGTTTTTTGTTCATTTAGGGTCGAAGACGGGAGGACATACCCCAGGTAGATCTTTGGATCTGAAAAGGCACGCCGGAGCGACTTCTTATCCAGACGATCCATTCTCGCTTCACCTTGGTCTTCTGATAGGCGGCGGAGGAGCAGCGCTCGCTCGTCCTCCGTCAGGAACTTGGCGGTCTCGGGCCAATCGACGATGATGAACTTGGAGACCACCGCGACGACAATGGTGGCGAGACCCTCGAGGATGAAGATCCAGCGCCAGCCACTGTATCCGGCGACACCGTCCATGTTGTTGATGGCGTAAGCGAGTAGCTGACCAGCATCAGCAACCTCGTTGATCAAGAGAAGAAGGATGGATCTACCCCGCTAACAGCGCCAGCACAGATACTCGCGCTGAAAAAGACGTTGAGTCGCCATTGAAGCTACATATTGATCAGGTAGACGGATCCTCGTCCAGAAGTCAGCATCCGAGCTTGGAACGGGGATCAAAGAGAAGAGTACCAGGCATGAAACCCGCCTCGAACACCCCAATCAGCACCCGACACACCACCAATCCTTGAAAACTCTTGGTGACGCCTTGACAGACTGTCAGAATCCCTGTGGGACCGTCAGCCATCGCTCACCACCTGATCAAATCGCACAGAAGAGCGAAGCAAACCCCAAGCAAACATAATCCCACTCAACCACCACGACGGCCTCATCCTCTTCAAGAGCATATTACTCGGCACCTCGAAGAGAATATACGGAATGAAAAACACAAACAGGGCAATGTTGTACTCATGCCCGGTCATGCCCAGGTCCCTCTCCAGCCCCATCAACCGGGCATTCCCGATGTTGATGCGGTCCAGGAAGGCGAACATGAACAGGAGAGTGAGAATGGGGACGACGTGCAAGTCGCATTTCCATAGGAGCCATCTCTCTGCCGCTCGATCGATTTCATCCGGCGGAAAGGAAGCGGACTTGATATCCTCGATGGTGGAGTGCGTGCAGTCGACTTTTTCGTCCATGGTGCTGCTACTGCCTTAGTACCTAGTAAAGTAACACAAGAAGCAGCTAGACTATAGCCCTATAGGAAAAGTACTACCTTACCACGCTATGAGGCCGACGAAATATCCACCCTCTTTATAGACATTGGCCTGGTAGCTCAGGCCAATATGCATGTGTCGTATACACACGCCCCGCATATTGCGGATCTTTATCCTAGATTCCGCGGTGAATTGCAGAGTCATGCACTCAGGCAGGGCAATTCCGCTCTCCAAGAGAGACAACTACAGAACTGGCGTATCTAACAAGTGATTACTTCGAGGTGACTGGCTTGACAGCATACCTAGATAGTTAGTGCTGGACGCACTACCAGCACGGCAGCAATACAAACTAAACCAATCCTAAATAGAGTATAACACCTGCTGCTCAAGCAACGAGCAACTGAATTGCAAATGAACGGTGCCAAAACCCAGTCAGGACAAGGTTTATAGATCTTCAGTTCAATTCGAGGATGGACTTTACATGACTAGATCCAGGTTAGGGATTCAAACGCAATATGATATACCTGCAACATACACCGGGTGTCAATTGATGATTTTCTTCAAACCCATACACGGAGTATTCTCGTTCTTTTGAGAAGTAGCGATACTTGTACCTCTGAGTCGTGACTACCCCAGCTTCCCCGGATCCAAAGTGCGGAGAGATTCCACTGCGGGGATGGATCCAGACCCTTTCCTTCGGTTGTTTATGCAGGGCGGAATGGGGTTCCGCTCAAGCTCGAATCTAGAAAAGGATTGGATGCTAGTGGTAGTCTAGATTGCTTACTTTTGAGTGAACTAGTTACTAGACTCTCGAGTGACGATCATCAAGACTTGATTAAAATGGACGGTGCTGTGCGGTGGGTTGCGTTCTAGACTTCTCGCTGTCCAATGTCTGAATCCAGAGAGGACGAGGTCAGCAAATCGTCTGACTGTTTATGAGACGAGCTGACAGGAGTGGACCTTCTCGAGGGAGCATGAGTCAGTTGTCGTGGCTTGGTCCAGTGGTTGCAGGTTGCCGTAACAAATTAAGTTGGTTATATGATTTATAAAGACGGATGAAAAACATAATTACTCAGACATGTACGTCAGTATCAATACCAGATTGACTTATAAACATTAGCTGGATACAGCAAGGTCATGGTATCAACGCCACGTGGGCACTGCAGCGGCAGACATCTACCGTCTAGCCTCGAGGTTTTCAACAGTCACCGCTTCACCCTTCTCATTGGCCTGGGCCTCAAATTGTCTCTCCTTCTCTCCAATCATCATCTGCTCACCGTTGGTGACATGGTTGGCGCCGCCAAAGAGAGCGTCGATCTCCTCAAGGGGAACTTGCTTGGTCTCGGGAATGAAAAACCAGACGAAGACGGCAAGCAGGAAGTTGACACCCGCGAACATGTAGAACGCGTAGAATCCGCAGTTCTTCAGGAAAATGGGGAAGAATTGTTGGAAAATGGCGTTGGCGACGTTCTGAGTCTGCGAGGCCATACCTACAGCCTGGGCACGAACGTTCATCGAGAACACCTCGGACGTCCAAATCCACACGGTGGCACCCCAAGAGGGTTTGTCTGAGGCAAGAATGTTAGTAGGGTCGAGTACGGACCGGATCGGGATAACTTACAGAAGAAGATGAATAGGAATAGTAAGAACACGATCGATATTCCGACGGGTTCTGTCTTCACCCCGTGCGGCGATGGTGTTTCAGTTTCAACAGCGGCGACAATGATCATGCAGAGACCCATGCCGATCCCACCGACAATCAGGAGGAACTTGCGCCCGAAGCGATCAATGATCCACACGGCGTTCAGTGTGAAAATGATACCGAAGGTGGCGTTGAGGGCGTTGATGAGGGCGATCGTTCCGGCGCTGGGAAACACCTTCTGGTAGATCTTCGTCGAGTACGAGTTCAGGGAACCTTGTCCAGTGACCTGTTGACCAGCGTTGATGACGAGCGCCAGAGCCATACGCTTGCGCAGGGACTTGTCCTTCCAGAGCGCACTGTAGTTGCTGGAGATGGCTTCCTTTTCGTACTCGAGAGCCTCACGGATCCTCAAGATTTCCTCCTCAACTTCCTCTTCAGTCTCACGGACTCGGCGCAGAGCGGCGCGGGCCTTCTCAATATTGTCACCTCGCTGGAGGAACCTGGCACCTTTGTCAGTTATTCTAAAACTGTACTGAGGTTTGCATCAGCTTACCATCGTGGAGAGCCGGGGATTGTTGGCAGAAGAGCCAGGATCAGGCAGGGAACGAGCAGTTGGAATATGACAACCATCTTCCAGTCCCACTCGCCCAGATTCTGCTTGTGCTTTGTGCAACCGTAGTTGACCCAGAAGCAAATGAAAGACCCAACGGAGTAGAACATTTGCCAGAAGGTCATGATTTTTCCACGAATCTCTGGTGGCGCCAGCTCACCAATATAGATAGGACCGGAGGCTTCACAAATATACTCCATTAGCAAAAGGGGAAAAAAAAAAAAAAAAAATTCCAAGATACACTACACTGGATAAGGATACTCACTCAAGGCAATACCCTGTCCGACACCGATGACGAGGCGACCAGCAAGGAAGCATCCAATGTTACCACGTGGGGACCATGTCTGCATGAAGGTGGACGCAATAACAAGGACACAGCCGATGCCCATTCCAATCTTGCGGCCGAGATAATCAGCAATGGGACCACCCAAGAAGAAACCACCGAAGATGGCGCCCACGGTGTAGGCCGTGTTGATTGCGCCAATCATGCTCTCATTGGGGTTATTAAAGTATTTGACCCAGTTCTTGGAACCCTGGACGGAGTTGTAGACGGACGCATCGTAACCATAGAGAACCATGCATGCTGCTGCAACGAGAGAGATGAACCTGAAAAGCGTTGCCGTCAATCGACCGTCCGCTTTGTTCCAGCCGTCAACAAACAGGACTCACCAGTTATAGCCTCTCTTGGAGAGGATTTTGGACATCATCTTGGCGGATGATTCGTGTAACTCGGCTTTGTATAGAATCTGAAGAAAAAAGGGATGATAGAAGTATATACCAGGTGCCCAATCGCAGTCTCTCGCCCTTTGTCAGCCAAGCCCTAGGCTGTCGTAGGGTGCTTGTCGTATTGTACACGACGAAGATGCTGAAAGACAAGACTCTGCCCAGAGGTTCCAAGAGACAGATATATAGGCCCCGTGAGAGATCGAGGAGAGATGGCGTCCGAGGCGATAGAAACGAGCAAGAGCCAGCCCATTATATTAGACCATGGGACACTCCAGCCCATGGCCGCATCCTTGTGAACACTAGAGCAAAAGCACCAGTGACCAGTCCAATCAGCATCGAAGAGCGTGTCTCTCCAGGGTGGCTTGATGGTGTCTAGCTCTCAACTCCATGTTTCTAAGTGGTGGGGTATCTGGGGTGGACCAACGGGGGACTCAGTACGGAGACTCTGATCTAGCCCGAAGCCAGTACCGTGTGGGCGTGGCCAAGGTAGAACCCCGGACGCGGATTTGAGGAAATTCTGCGCCGTTGATAAAGCATGTGCTAAGGTTTCCACGAATCGGCGACGGGCTGGGTCAGGGGCGATGGGGAAAACCGAGTCCACCAATGGAGACGACTGCACTCGACCTAAGAATACTAGGCACAGTTCTTGTCCCATGGTGGAAAAAGGTTCGAACCAAAAGCCCTGTGTTCACTTATGATGGAAATCCGGGGATGATTATGATAAAGCAGTGATGAGGATGATAGTGGAGAAAGCAGTCGAGGTCTGTTGGTGGACGTGGAGAGTCACGAGTCCATTGTCGCTAGTCACTCGATAGGTAGGGCTCCCCCAAGTATCCCCGGATGAATTCCAGTCAACTCGACAAGCTTTAACACATTTTAGGCAATTTGACGCTTAGCTGATTGGCCAAGATTCATTTGCCCCATCGAAACTCCGAAGTTGTTGACTCTTCCAGCTGACTGCAGTATCCACTATCCAGATAATGGGAGGTGAGCTGTGTACCTTACGGATGTACGGGGTCTGGAATCTGGGGTCTCCAGACCTCGACCGAATTTCTATGATTTCACACCATATAATCATTGTTCAGGGAGACGGTTGGGCACATTACAATAACGCAAGACAGGAATAAGATTCGAAGATCGATATACTGACCTACGAAATACCGACATGCTAAACTCTGAATAGCAATGCCCTTCATGTCCAAAGCTCGAGGGACGTGAAACAAGAAGAGGGAGTGAAAACAAATGTGATGGAATGATTATTCAAAAGGCAAATTCGTCGAGAAATCTCTCGGCCTCTGTGACTTTCTGACAAGGGCTTGTGACCGACCCATCGTTCCTGATCTCGGTCCCGTCGCCCCTGAAGAAGTCCGGTGGCGTCTTGGACTTTACCTCTCTACAGTGCCTTCGGATACTTGCATTGGGCGCTCGAGGGAGAACTGGAATTTTATGAGCGGATTGTACGCCTTTCGCATGTTTTGTATCGAGGGACTCTATGTCGAAGACATCTTGAATTCTTCCGCGAAAGTCTCTTCGAAACGCACGGAGTTGACGCCATTTCTGTTTCAGTGTGAAGAAAGGCGACGTGGGATCACTGGCATCGTCCGCTCCAGTCTCGTTTTCCCTCTGCAATACTTCTAGCTTGGTGGGCGAGGAAAATCCAGGGAAGAGAGCCGGTAGAGAGTCGACTTGGAAACCCGTGGAAAACCTCGATTTCGTGGCAGGACTTCGAGAAGTCTGGGCACTACATAGACCCCGAAATATCTGGTATCGCCTCTGCACTCGTCTGCAGAAGCTTCGCAGCAGATACAGAAGAGTAGCTACCACGATAAAGCAGCCGAGTAACACGCAGACACTGTAGAAGGCTTTGCGTCCGCTAACCTCCTGCTTCGAGCAGTGTTTCTCAATGACTGCAAGGTTTCTTTCTGGATAACATAGGGTGCAGATCTCGTCTTTAGTCGGAGTTTTACCCTCTGGTGCACAAGTCTTCTTCAAATCGAACCCTTCGCAAAAAGTGTCCACACATCTACTGCGACGACTGTAGGAATTTTTCCGGACGGGGTCGTTGTTATCATGAGTGTGGACACGGCCTTCTGAGCCACTCTGGAAGCCAAGGGTATTTTCTGATTTTCGTCTCTCAGTTCGTGCCTTTCCACGTTGAGATGCTGACTCCGAGCCCGATCCTGAAGCTGCCTCTGGTTGACCGTTCCATATTTTGCTGCGACGTTCACACTGCGGATCGCTGTGCTCCAGGCGAGAATTGAGTACTATTATTTCCCCGAGCGTTATGGGAGCTTCCGGGGTGTCATGAGGTCGCGTCAATAACCTCTTCCACAGTCGCATTCTCGCTCCTTGCCCCCCTGGAATCGTCAGGGTCACCGTCAGATTCAGAACTGATTGAACCTCGTCTTCCGAGCTTCTCGAGTGTATTGACATATTTCGGCCAGGTATTGCTCCTGCGTCAGTCCAATACAGTCGCCGACCCAGAGAAACCGCATATGCAAGCTCATCCACTTCAGCATCCGAGAAGTTGAGCCCGCTAAAGGTGGCCAGTGCCTGCTTGCAATATTCGAGCTCGTAGGTTTGATTGCCAAGGGACTTGTCTGGCGCCAGTCCCGGACTTTCTGTGTTGTTGACGAAAGGCCCAAGGAAAGCATAAAGGAGAGCGATAAGATGCTGTTGACAATACATTGGATCGGAGCAATAATAGCTCAGACTGATGATACAAAATACCAAAGCTGCAAGCTCTCATGTCAAAGACCAGAATTGAGAGGTGTCTCTTACAGACTATGAGGAGCTCGACTACACCGCATGGCCGAAGTCCTGCAAAGTCAGGAAAGAACAAGATGTCGCTCACGGAAGCTACACCTCATCTCTTCGACCACTTCAGTTGCCATATCGATCGGGCGGGTAACATTTGAAAGTAGAAAGAACACTCTGTCAAGCATCTCAGATGTTCATGAATGTCCAGCTCATCATAGGTCTTGTAGTAGAATGCTCCAGAGACAGTCTTCTCGCTATGAAGAGATAGCCACTAGCCTTATTCAGACTGAAGACTGTGAGATGTCACTATGCACATCCTTCTCCACTGATCTGTAGTTCTCATAGTGTCATGTCTCTGTCCACTTCTCTCATCACTAATTTGGTAAAATGAGTCACGTGCTCTCGTGAATCGGTGACGCGGTGCCATCGCGGTCTCACCAAGCCATCCTTTTGGCCTCACTTTATTGTCATCTCGTCCTCATCTATCAAGGCTCGTATTTCTCAATTAGAAGCTATTTATTGTACATTAAACCCTCACAGCTATTAATCCCCGCAACTTTCAATCCCATTCCTCATGCCCCGCACGTATGGCAAAGCGAAACAGTCGCGACTTTCTTTCGCTCCACTATCATCTTCGCCGCCTGGTACTGACAGGAGCACGAGAAGTCAGAAAGATCGCCTAGCTACCCTACGATATGATCATCCCTCCTTACCTTCCCTTCGTCGAGATCCGTTACAACGGGGCAAGCCCCTGACGCGCCGAGAGGAATCATCTACCCCGCCAAGCTTATCAGAGGGAACGCCGTCCTCAGAGCCAGAACAAAACGCTCAGAGACCGAGAGAAGGTGGGTTTGGTCTTCCTCACTCATCCATGCATCTGTCACTCATAGAGTTTACGAAGACCAGTCGCCTACAAGATCAGCTGCCAAGGGCGCAATTGCTGTTGACGAGAGCAGCGATAGTACTCTGGAGATTCAGCGCAGCGCGCGCAAATATATGCGGTTACGATCGGGAAAGCGGAAGAGGTCTCCCTCCTTACCAAAGTCGTCGAAGACGTCTGCGAATGAGCGTCCGATTCTGGTTTCGGATCAGAGCGATGAGGACATGGTTATACAGCCTCGCCGAAGGTTAAGACGTGGCGCCGCCGACGTAAAGCCCATTGTCGTCGAAGAAGACTCTGAGGACTCCGATGAGCCTATCCGCTCTTCACCAATCAAGCGACGCAAGCGAAATATAAACTCAGATCCCCCCAGAACTCCGCGGCGGCACTCAGAGCAGGAGAAGTTGGATCTCGAGGAGGATCTAGAGGTCTTGCAGGACTCTGGTAGGATTCTTTATGAAAGATACGACTTTGGGATGCTCTCCTTGCTAACTTCAGCGTTCGTGTAGTCGTAAAGAATACGCGGACCCGAGGTCGTCTAGCCAATTCGGCGAGAGCTCAACGCCAACGTCATCTGGAAGCCCTAAGACGCCGAAGGGCTGGTGGGAAAGAAGCGGACCTGGAGCAAGACTCAGACGCTGAGCACCCGGATGAAGCTGACTCTGATAACGAGTCTGAGAATGAAGCCGGAAGCCAAGTTCGTCAGCCGCAGTTTCGCCGCCAGGAAGAGAGCGATGTCGAGTCATCTATTGCAGACAACGAGGACCTCGACCAATACGAGGACGATTTCGTATTAGAGGACGATAACGCTGAACTGGGAGTGCCATCCACTCTGGAAGATTTGCCGTTTGAGTTTTCTCGGCATGCCTACAAACAGCTGAAAGAATACTTCCAAGACGCTGTTGAATGGATGGTAAATAACAAGATCAACCCTGCCTTCCCTCGTTCCGACCCACTGTACGAAGTTGCGTTTATCAAACTTGAAGACGAGGTCAAAGGACGCACTGGTTCTCAGCTGGTATCTTCCGTCTGGAACGTCAAATTCCGCCGAGCACTCCTGGCAAGACCTCATGTCGAAATCACTCTATACCCGATCACAGACAATCATCCTTGTGACGCGTGCAACAGGTCTAAGCATCCTGCTTCGTTCGATATGAAGCTATACGGAAAGGCTTATTCCTTGGAGACACTCGAACCACTGTCAGATGACGATAGCGATGAGGAAGAGGGTGCTGAAAGGGACAGAGACGGTTACAGCTTACCAGATGAGGACACGCGGTTCTATCTTGGACGGTTTGTCCCCCTTTTTACCTTCTGTATTCTCATTTCCATGTTGACTCGTTGATAGCCATTGCAAAAACAAAGCCTCGCTAGCCCACACTCTCACCCACTGGCGATTTCACCTCAATGAATGGGTTGTCGACTACCTCGAACGCATGGGTTACTTAGAGGACGAAAAGCTCCTTGAGCGCAGCCATTGGAGTCATAAACAAAGGGCCAGGTATGCTTCAGAGGTGATGGGCTCAATGGTCGACAGTGGTGAGGTAAAGAAGCTCTGGCGTGACTTCCATATTACCCTGAAATCAGCGAGAGAGACAACCGTATGTTGAATCTTATCTACAATTAACACAGTACATACTAATCTGCGTCCAGACACTCTCGTGAGGCACATCAATCGATCCTACAGCCTTGTTACTTTTTCCTTGCTCTGTTTTCTTTTGCACATGCTTTATCAGCACAGCCGTCGACAAGCTCGACGAGGCACTCCTACATAACCTGCCGTCTTTGACTCTTGAGAGGTCCCTGAGTTAATTTTGCCTTTGCTTTTGCGATGATACCCACTACTCGTAAATCTGATTCAATAACCAACAGTTGCTTCAATATGTACTTAGGCGAAATCAAAATTCATGACTCATGAACTAGGTTCATCCACGTTCCATTATCTAGCAACGTACATCAACGAACAAAGAGAAAGAGACATAACAAGAAATGAACATGAAAAAATTGTTATACAAGTACATATAGACGCGAAGGTGTCAGCGGAAGCCGCAGACGGGATAAACCAAAGGCTTCGAATACAACAGGCGAAGGGAATGAGGACTTAAACCGTGACAGAAACGACGCAAAAATTTTTCTGTGATCGCGCCAGCCCAGTATGCAAACCAACAGAAGAAAGGAATATGTGAAGAGAAAACCAGCTCCAACACCTCCCCGAAATCATATTTTGTTTTGCACTGCGCCCAAATTTAATATCGAGAGGTTCTTTGTCGCTTCGCTTGCTGAGTGGAGTCAATTCGTGTACTGGCCGCGGTTGATTGCGAACTCAGCCCCAGCAGACCGATAATCATAAATCAAAGCGACGGACCGAACAACAGACGTCTCAGCTGCATCATCGCAATTGTGGAGTCCAATACACCCGTTGTATTTTCACCCTCGGATTGAGGTGTTCATTTACAGAGTAGGTTGGGCCTGCTTGTTCTCAGCCGGGAGAGCGCCGGGTGTGAGCATCTGTAGAAGAACCAGTGTCAGCATGCTCCAGTCAAATACTCAAAAAGCTCGTAAGCATGCAAATACAAAGATACAAGTCGGAATCGCGTGTGCCTCGCTTTCTTGGCAGAACAAGTCAAACAGTAAGAGTTTTCACACCGCTACCGGTGCTCAAAGAACCGGACAGATCTGAAAGAACCGAGTCGAGACATTCTGGGGGGAATAATATGAGGAGAAAAACGTCCGTCAACATACCTCGTTAGCACCCTTGATCATTCCCTGCTCACGCTCCATCTGAACGTACTGCTCCTCTTCGGCGTAGGCAAGCGCCCATGGAACGCCAAGGAGGAAAGCGCTGGTGCTGAGAATCCAGAGCGCCTGTCCGCTGAAGGAGATGCTGGACTTTGTGAACGAGGTGAGTGTGGAAACGGTGGAGGAGATCTGGCGCCGGGCTGACGGGGGGACGATATCTTTCAGAGCGGCCACACGCTCGTACAGGGTCTCGCTTTCGACATCGAGGTCGGACTCAACGGAGATTTCGGATTCTAATATTGGATTGAATGGTTAGATATGTTGTTTCGTGGTCTTGTCAGTGTGAAAATGCATATTGGCTATGAATCCTGTCGGAGAATCACCCTCCGGCAATGGAGCGGGATGTCCGTGGATGAAGGAGCGAGATGCATGAGGGAAGCGCGTGTGGATATCAAACAGAAGCTCATAGAAAATGAGCGATCGGTGTCAGTAGAGCTTGCTCACCCGTGTCAGTGTAGTCTTCGTCCTCATCGTCCGTGGCAAGAAGAACATTGTGCTTGCTGGCCATGGGCTTCTCCTGAGCAAAGTGCTCATCCTCAACCTCGGTAAGCTTGACCATTGTGACGGTAATAAATTAATCGGGAGAAAGGGTGCCAGAAAGAAGTGGTCAAACGAATTTGTGACGGCTAGAAATATGATGCTAAAGGTGACGGAGATTGCTGGCGGACTGCGGACTTGATAGTGGTCCGCTCCAACTTTTTTCCCGAACCAGACGGCCGTAAAGCGGCAAGCAGCTCCAACGTGATTTGTGCTCGCGCCAACGGTTCAATGGAGTGCTTTCATGGACAATACAGATCAATCGTAAACTTACTGTCTCAGCAGGATTAGATATTGTACAAGTCGATTATTTATGCCATTCTTAGATACATATGGCACACCGAATCTCATGCAAAAATGGTGAGTGAAGAATGAAAAGCCATCATCCACCCTCTATATAGTACACACGGACCGGGTTCTGGATCAGTTGGAATCCATGAGCTGCGCTATGCAGGATCATACGAATCTATCTTCTTCCGAGCTTCCATCGTGCAATCCGTTCTTGAATTTCCTCCCATGGGAAAGGACGAAGTTTGTACCCTTCCAGCTCACCCTCCTGCAAGACCACCGTCGGGATACCGGTGCCCTGGCCCTTGTTCTGAACATGGCCTCCAAATACATGGCGAGCCACGCGACGGAGGTCATCCACGGTCAGAGCCTCGATGCGGTCGCACATCTCCTTGACGCCAACCTTATGGCCGTGAACCTGGAC